CGAACCTTCCCCCTTCTGCTGTTTTCTTTTTTTCCTTCCTGCGGCCTTTCGCGTCCAGAGAAATGCCACGAAATGAAAGCGCTTAAAGCGCGATGATTCTTCAGCGAAATCTCCAACCCCTTTCGAACCCTCCAATTTCGTCCCTCTCTTTTACTCACAGTTACTAGGGAAAGTTTTCGAGCAATTGGCTAAAATCGAAATCGGCGCGATTTATGTCGGTTTATGTGACGGTTCTTATCGTCGAGAATGATAGAAATGATTTTCGTATAATATGTGCGAAACGAGCGTTTCAATAAAAATGATTAATATTTAAATTTTGCTTGGTTTATGCATCACGTGAAATGAATTTAAATGAAAACTCACGTTATTTATTCTCGTAATATGTTAAATTAAGTTTACTTATTGGTCGTTTAAGGGATATATTTTTAGCAAATATATTTCTGTGGTTCATGTTTAGATTTAGAGAAAGTGATTTGTGATTCTAATATTCTTTTAATTATTTTACAGAGTTTAATTGTAGATAATACGAAATATATGTAAAATTTTAAAATTGCTAAAAATGCGAAAGATACATTGAAAAATGTATAATCATACTCGGAAATGTACGCAAATATTTTTCAATCATACAATAAAAACACAACGACGGCGAAACGATCATGCCTATAACTTATTGGCTTCTCACCTGGCGTGTTATTTCTATGAATATGAAAATGTGATTTGTGTTCGCATGAAATGCTAATTTTGAAACTGTGATTTTTCGTGATTTTTTATGAATATTTCGGTAAAATGACATACCTCGACTGTGAAATTTCTCGATGACACATTTCTCAGTGATTGTCTTCCCCATTTGGATTGCCCTATCCCATTTAGACTTATTTAAAGATATTGGTTCGGAACTATATTCCACCATGCATATTTATTTAATATTATTTCAATATTTAATTTTAGTATTGTACGATATTTTTTAGATCGTTATTATTAGTTAATCAAAAGAGAAATCTGTAGATGTAAATAAACTAACAAGTCTTAATCTATTTAAAAAGATGTTAAAAAAACGTATACATATATACATGCACACACACACACACACACACACACACACACACACACACACACACACACACACACACACACACACACACACACACACACACACACACACACACACACACACACACACACACACACACACACACACACACACACACACACACACACACACACACACACACACACACACACACACACACACACACACACACACACACACACACACACACACACACATATGTATATATGTGTATGTATGTATCATATATGTATGTAGTATATATATGTATGTGTATTATATATATATATATATTTCTCTAAAATCGACTTCAGTATATATTTTTTTAGTCTTTTCCTCTTTTTCTCTCTCTCTTCACCATCGCGCCAACACGATGGAAGATGCAGGCGTAAGAAAAAAAAGCGTTCGCGAGTGACGGAAGGAAGAGGGCGGGGAGGGTGATACAGAACTAAGAACGAAAACGATATCGTCGGCACGTGCACGCGGTTAAAAAGGTTTACGAGGTTTTGCCGCGCGTTTCATCGGCCACGGCTCGGCTTGGTAAAAGCGGAACCGGCTGTCGCGATACGGATCTGACCAATCATAAAGGCCGCACATACACACATAACGGCCACTTTATTCATCCATCCAGGGCTGCGTAACGGACAAAGGCGGAAATTAGTCAGGTTCGTTATGTTTATTAATTGACTGACATTTCCGTCATATTATTGTACGATGAATCGAAAGCTGCTCTTTCTCTCTCTCTCGTAAGGCCCTCGAAAAACAGGCCGCGCTCCTTTACGCGCGCGGTTATTGCTACAGGACGTTCCATTGATGGCAAAAGTCAACGATCTGAAAAAAAGACGCGTCGACGCTTCCGCAATCAGATTTAGAACTGAAATTTCGAATGATAAGAACTAATGTATAACAGTCTTGGGACTTAATGGATAAGTATGCTCTTTTTCTAAAAAGCTGTCTTTCTCTGTGAAAATAATTATAATCATTATTTGTCATTTTCATCGCTTTGAGATTTGAAAGTAATCCAAATATAGATTCGGATTGTGATCATTGCATAATGTGAAAAGGGCGGAAATGAAGAGAAATGACCATCGTTTAGGACATAGTTAGCCGTCTTCGTACAAAACGAATTTTAAAGGAAGAATCACATGCTTGAATAGACTAATTACAATATTTCTGGGAATGATAATACTGTGATATTTCTGGAAATATGTTTATTTATTCACAAATAATAATATGTTTTCAAGAACATGTGACATCGTTTGAAAGCTTTGATTTTGAAAAAATCTGGGAAATAAACTTATCGACCAAAGCTCGAATATGAGACGAGACATTACGCGATGTTTCGCGATAATTATATATATAGATATTAATCACTAGTTAGCGTAGTATTTTTATGAAGGAAGAAATGAGAATACAAAGCGACGGAAAAACGGCGGGATGGTATGAGCAGGATGAATAAGAGAAAATGAAGCGCAGACGAAACGCAAGATGCGACCCGAGTGAATCGTAGAAAAATTGCACGCAAATGAGAAGTTTTTCATATAACGTATGTTAACGTATAAAAGGCTCAAAAAGATATGACGTTACATACGGTATCTATTCTCTGCATGCTCAAAGAGAAAGCATTCACGTACAAAAATCTCTTTTTCATATGCGTGGCAAACTGTTATTACGTCTAAATATTCTTTATTTATATCGTTAACCTGCAACAAATATTTGAAATGTATTTCAAATATCTTTATTATTATTTTTAATTAATGAAGAGTTATTTACAGTGCGGAGAAAGGCTAGCTGAGAAAAAGAGAGAGGAGGGGGAGGGGAGAGGGAGATTATGAACTATAGTTTTCGTTATTGCATGTGCAAGGTATATTTCCATAACTTTCATGTATAACGCATAATACATATCGTCATTTTTAAAAAGTACCATCCCCTTTGACACACGATACCTCGTTATCTTGTCCCTGCGAATATGGAGAGTAATCGAAACACGTTGGTACGATATATAAAGGATAAAGCAATTACACGTTCGTTCTAATAACGATGCTCACGATACGCTATTCTCTCTAAATCCGTTTTCATTAAATGTAAACGATCGATCTTCAACTACGCGTTCTAATAAACATAAAATTATACATTTTACATATATTATAAATAAATATATATATATATATATATTTTTTTTTTAACTTTTTTACACGCATATACATTTTTCTCTCTTGCTTAAATGGTAAAAATCCACATGCGTAATTACATGTTTTATTTCAAATTTTGTTTCTATACATACGATAATTTGCGCAGCATTTCGAATATGCCAGAAACACCGGGATTCTATGAACGTGCGACGTTGATTCGCGTATTCATTTTATGCACCCCTCGCGAGAAATCGGTTGAAAATGGCGAGACCGGTCGATCTTGAAAAGGGTGAAGGGCGCACGTGGTGGAGCTCAGGGATTTCTTAATGATGCTGTCTCGTTGCTGACGCCGGCTCACTCTTATGTTTATCCTCCGCTAAGGGATAACATACATGAAAGAGGAGGAAAGAGGAGGGGGCGTATCGGTGCGGACGTGCAGCTGCGCCTTGTATCATACCACCTATATTCTTACGCAGGGTGGTAGGTTATATCGGTGAGAGAATAATGCCACGGGGGTGCCGGAACGGTTTCATTACACGGCTTCCCGAGGGATAATATCCCGGGCTATCTCTCCGCGGTCGACCCCAACGGGGGTGAAATTCCGTGCCACCGACCCACCTCGTATGAAAGATGAACCCTCCGTGTGGCGACCCCATACTGGAGGAGCATCACCCTGAGCAACCCCTTTGGAGGGAGAACGCGTCCGGGATGAGCAAGGGAGGAAATTGTAGCAACCGACCACACTGGGGCAAGGGATCGCCATGCGGCGACGGAAAATGGCCGATGGCCTCGTGGCGATCGCAAATACAAAGGCGCTGTTTTAATAACGGTATTGGTAACAACTGGTTATGCCGTTTCTGACTCTTGTCTATTCTCTCTCGAAGCTATAGAAAGAGCGATGCGCGGTGAATTCAACAATACGCAACAGATGTATATTTCCAGCTCTTTTATTCCTAAATATGAGATTTTTCAAAGTAAAAGATGAGAAATTTGCCAAAAACTCTGTAACAGTTTTATGCGAATCATATTATTATCTTATCAAAGAAACGTTGAAAACAGTCAGCAAGAGGAATGATCGACGTTTCACGGTATTTTTTTCTCTTCTTTTTTTTATGTCGGCACCCTTTGAAGTTACCATACACATACGAATTCACCTAGCACGGTGCCATTATATCGCTTGCGCACATTGCGATTAGTATTTAATGCGCACATTGTATGAGAAAGGGTCCTTTTCCCGTATCAGATGTGGGGCGGGCCTTAGACTAGTTATTAGACCGCTGACAGGCCCATATAATCCGCCTCTTCTGATGTACAGAACGAAAAATATAATGCCTATTAGCGAGGATCTTTTCAGCATGGTCCGCGTTGCCCTCGAAGAATTTTTTCTTCGCCTTTATTTCTTTTTCTCCGCATCAGCCGCGCGTTGGTTCGCGCGCGGTAATTTTCATTTTCTCCCGCATATTCGCGTTTTGCTTCAATCTTGTGTCGATAGTCACTTAACTGTAAACGGTAAAATAGATCAAAAGTCATTTCCCCCATACGATTTATCAACATTGACAAACTCAAATTAATCATTAGTGTTCATAGTTAGACAGAGTAGAAAAATATAAAGTTGACAATGTTTTGTGATGCAACGTATTTGTTAATCATTTATTTATCTTGGTGTTTTTTGACCGTATTTAAATGATTTGAAATTGGAAAATTTTATTTATACCAAAAGAATGGTTTTTTATTAAGAATTTCTATTTTTAATAATTAAACATTTCCATTTTTAATAATTAAACATTTTTGTATTTCAGAGAAGCTCAAGCAGGAAGAGAGCAACAAAATAAATGCAGGTGAGTTAAAAGTCGGAAAAATAATCTTTCCTTTCTCTATCTTTGATATAATCCACTGAAAAAATGTCACTTGTTGAACATTTACCCGTTTCATCTGTTACATTTAAAACACATCGATTGTAATAACGTATTTGTTAATGGACATGTTGCCAAGTTAGACTGTCTAGAGAAAGATTTTCCTCAGTTTTACATGGTTTAATAGATACATTGTATCTTGAACGAAACGAAACGCGAACGTGTTCCAGGTGTCTGCCCACATTGTATGCGGCGATACTCGAAAAGAGAGTAAGCGAATATTGTATAATTCGAATCATTCGAGCGCGAAGACCCGCCGCAGTTATTATATTTAATATAGCATCCCGGTCCCGTGCTAACATCTGTCTATGAAAGGCACGTTTCTTTATCACGAACGAAAAGAACATTCTCGAAAATTTTGTATATAACGGTGTGACAAATATATATTCATAGAATCAATATATTTTAAAAGATTCCATGCTTTCGGACATATAATGAATAACATTAATATCTTGCAAAATTTTAAACTAATCCTTAAAATCTTTTTTTAATTAGCAAGAATGTTTGCTTGTGACTGTGCTTTACACATAAAATATATACATATATATATATGTATATGTATATATCTACGTATATATAATATCTTTACTCCCCTTTTTTCTCCTCTTTAATAATACTTTTCTCTTTTAAAGATTTAAGATAAGTTTCTCTGTCTTTAAAATGTATTTTATATCGCGAAGAAAAACACGTACTTTCAATTTTCCACGTTTTAGCTGATAATGAATAATTTTACATCTGTCGACGATATAATGAATTACAAAAGTGATTTAACGGTGCATCGTAATGCGGCCTATAGTTTTCGGTTCGTTAGCGATCATGCAACCACACGCAGATTTGCTTCGGTGAAAATTACTGCACATCCTGGTACAATCAACTCATATATTATTTGTAAATTATGGTTAATGATTATTATTATCTTCGATTCGAATGTAACTAATGTTACATTTGCAACACTAATGTGCTGTCCATATTATTCATGAACCCTCGAAATAATATCACCGCGTGTGGCCGACCCGCACATCTCAACATGATCAAATGGATCGAACTGACGTTATGATTCAATAACGGAATCATTTACTCTTTGGTTAACGTAATTTTGCAATTGTTGCGCGTGAATTTTCGCTAATTATATTTCGATATATTTTTCGAAGAAGCAAAACACACGCACAATATAATGGATGTAATATTATCTCTATTTTGTCCGACTGTATAAAGAAGATTTAAAGGAGGAACTTGATCTTAGAAGGCGTAAAGTATTTTTGCAGCTGTAGTAAATATTTTGATATTTTTGCTACGTTTATATATAATGGTGAATAGTTGGCGTTACAGCGCTCGATGAAATATATATTCTCTCGACTTCCGTCCATTACGCAACCACGAAAGACCATCGATGCGACCTATCGGCGGTAACATTACCGACTATGCAGCCTCCGCCACCACAGCCGCCGCCGTCGTCGCGACTCCATATTGCACCCCGCGAGGGACGCGTGGGGGGTTGCGCGGCAGCGCGGTAGGGTGGGTAATGTCGGGAAATGCAGCTAACGAAGTTTACGAAGATACTTAACGGAATTACGCCCTCGCTCGCAATGGTCCCCGTTGTCGTCCCGTCGCCCCCCACGCGCGCGCGTCATCTCGCCAACTTGCAAGCGTCCCTTTACACTTTTCCGGCGACAGGGAGGTCGCGTTAATTACCGGCAGAGGCAGGAAGCCGGGGAAACGGTGGCGAGACATCTCGTCCTCGACGCGATGCGTCGTCGACGCACGGTGATGGTTACGAAAGTCAGGCTATGGGGGCGGGTGACGGAGGATGGCGAGGTGGTGCGCGACGGTGGAGCGGGAAGGGGTCGGTTTGCGCCGAAGAAGGGTGTTATTGACATGGTGGGTGTCGTCGGCCATCTTGGGCCGCAGCAGACTCCCCGCCGCCGTCACCACCTCCACCACCTCCTCCTCGTTTTCCTCTTCCTCCCGCCGCCACCATTCATCGCATTCACTCTGCTCCCCATCGCGTCCGAAGGACATCCTTGTGTCCCCTTGTGCCGAGTGACATTCGGGCTGCGTACCCAGCCTAACCTGCCCGGCGGACGCCCTGGGCCACCCTTTTCGACCAACCCCGGCAACGAGCTGCGAGGGTCCCGGGGGCTGCTTGTCGCCATGGCGACCAAACCCTCGCCCAACCCCCTCAACCAAACGCCGATTTCCTATCCCTCGGAACTTCGCTACCCTCTTCCGCCACCCCTTTCTCGTCGCGCGCGTCGTTTGCGCTGCCGTTCTCTCGTCGCCAAAGGGAGAATCTTTCGATATCTCATACGTCTCTCTTTGACAGCTCTACGATCCTCGCCTCTTTCTCATCATACTTGCTTTGTCTCTATACTTCGCTTCTCTTTCTTTCAATTTTCCTCTTCCTTCTCTCTTTATTCTCTCTTTATCCTCTTTGTCAGATATCTAAATGCCAATCCTCGTTTTTCGGGAATTTTGTGTTATGCCTTTTATTCTCTTTCATTATAATTCACTCTTAATAATGTTTTGTATTTTTCATAGATAATAATCTCGTATGCTGTATGAAAGAGAAGACTCTTTAATATTTTTCGCTCTTTTGCGATTTTACTTTCTATATTTCTATTTGCCACGTCATAATGTTTTACTATTCCTTGTTTTCTATTCTCGATTTTATATTGTTTTAATAATCTTAATTATATTTGTCTTTAAATGAAGAAAACTATATCGTTTGTGTTTTTACGACGTCAACAAATTGCGTTTTTATGTTCTATATAATAAACGTAATAAAATATAATCTCACGTCCGTACTTTTCAGAAAATTTAATATTTTGAAAATATCGTTCTTTTTCAGCTATGAAAATTTTAAACAATTTACTTTTACGAAATTTTAAGAATCTTAATTTTGAACCACGCTATATATTCTGAGCTAGTATAATTTATTTATGTAACATCAACACCGATAAAAATCTGGCATCCGATATTGATAATCGATGTATAATATATATATGTAATAGAAGGTTAATAATCTTCTCCTATATGTTAATTAAAAAAAAAAACATAGGTGTTTTTTATGTTTCGCTTAAAATGCGAGTTGCGGTTTCGATATTACACAAATTTAATGGCCCGCGTCGAAAGGTTGCAAAAAATGCTAGGCAGTATTTAGGGTTGGTTAGATCGGTGTGGTGTGTGGCATTAATACCGCTAATTATATCGAAGAGTCGATCTGTCGGAAACTCTGTCCGCGTTCTTCCTTTTGTCCGGAGATCCTTTATCAAACATTCTCCAAGGCACAAAGTTGCTCCCTTCCCCCGCGGAATTGGCGGATATTAGGAAGGACTTCGCCCCAGCTTTTGTCTCGTTCGGCCACAAAGTTTCGCGAAGCACCACAATCCCGACCAATTAGCGACGATTTGCTAAAATCAAACCGTAACCGCGAGCTAATTGGCACTTGACATTCAACCCACTCTCTCTTCTGTCGCGAGAAACTCTTAAACCTTAATCATCGATGATAAATACTCGAATTAATTGTGTGCCTCAATTAAAGGAGTCGGCCTTTGAGAAGGTTTTCGGTGGGTACTTTGAGTTTTATTTGAGTATTGTAGAAAAATCGTGATACAAGCACGAGCTTTAATTTTATCTACGGCTGCAATCACAATCACAAACATATTTGCAGGTTTAGCAAGACTTTTATTTAAATGATATCGGTTATCAGGAGAATCTTTCTTAGAAAGTCAATAAGATTAATATATATAATAATATCAAAAGAATATATTCACAGAGAGAACTCGCTATTGTCACAAGAATTTGTAACGTTTTAATTATCAGACAGATCGCAGATCATGTATTCATATACAAAATACTCGATATCGGGAGTAAAGTCTCGACATTTCGATACCATTGAGGTATCTTGAGCATTCTTGGATTTCAAGATGAGCGTTCGAATGAACTCGGTGACTCGGACCGCGTTCACCATGCAGCTGCATTGCGGCAAAACAGTAGACGCTTGTCATCGGAGACGACGATCCGTGGGCGACGTATCGGAATGCAATTCCGCAAATGCGCAACGTGGTTCCATTCATTGGCCGTCGCCGCGGCCAGCTGCGGCTTTAAAATAGCGCTCACAGGGACGAAAGTGGGTAATCGCCGAATGACAACGATTCGATTAATTAATGCCGGTGGAAGTGTCGCATCGGTCTCGTGCGACGATAGGACCGGAAGTGCGTGTCGAGCAAAAAAAAAAAAAAAAAAAGGAAAAGGAAGAACCGCGGTCTTTATGTACGCGGATCAACTGTTTATTCAGCATATAGTGAAAACGAGAGAAAGAGGAGAAAGAAATAGAACGAGAGAGTGCACGAGTCGGCGGGAGGAGGAGAAGAACGTGACGGGGGAAAGAGGGAATGCAACAGCAAGCGCGAGTGATCGACGTGAAACGAGTTCATTCATGCTTGGATGTTGTAATTCTGAATGGACGTGGAATGGATCGAAGTTGTGCGATTAGATTAGAATCGCGTAGGCTGATTTGATATTTTTTATTTAGATGAAGATACGAGTAGTTTATTTTTGAAGGACATAATACAAATTTTTTACTTTGTAAAATCACTTGTCTCTCTTTTGTTTCATACGTTTAGCTAAATGTAATCCTGCGATTCTCGGCTCTTCAATAATATCGAATATGATTTTTATAATGTAGATGTTGCAATCGCGAAGGAAGTTATATTTAAATATTTTTCGTGCTTTAAAAATTAAACTCGTACGATACTCTATTTAAGATTAAACTAAATCCATTGTCATTCAATGATTCGCGTCAAAATCCAGACTTGTCGGCAAGGTTAAAAGGGCATCTCTCTGTCTCTCAAGGGTGCGATAACTTTCAGCGCCGACTGTATCGCCGGATGATATATCCCCCGGGGGTTTTCTCCCCTTGGGTGTTGGGGTGTGTTTCGTTGCCTGGCAACGACACCCTCGAAGTCCGCGCTCTGATTGGCCCCGTCTCGCTTTTCCTGTCTTAGCCTCTCTTCTCACTCCGTCGCCAATCAGGCCCCCTTGCTCATACTACCGTATCCACCCTATACTCTTGCCGATGGAAACCGTCGTCCCCGGGGCAAAGTGCACACACGGGCGCGCGTGCAAAAAAAAAAAAAAAAAAAAAAAAAAAAAAAACCCAAAAGATAAAAAACGCTCTGCTACGCGTCCACACGAACGGAGAACGCGAGGAATTAGAGGTAATTCGGTACAATGGTGCAACATCGATATATGTAACACATGTACGTAGTTGCATACATATGCACGTGACGAAACGTTATAATATTAGTTTTAATAAATAATATCATATAGATTTATCTTTTGTTATCTTCCACATTACGTATCATTATACGAAAAAAAATATAAAACCTCCAAAGCTCACGATTGCACTCGTTTTATCAAACTTGATTCTTTTACGAATAATTTTCCGTAATAATAATAATAATAATAATATATTATTATTATTATTATCATCTGTATAATTTTTCTTTTACTAAATCACAAAAGCTAGAAGCGTATATATTTATATGTATATTTTCGATGCCAGCGAGAAACGTTCTGAATGATAAAATTAAATTCGTAGAATAAATGCCCGAAATCTTATTTGCCATAGATTCGTTCTGTAAATCCGATTACGAATAAACAGCCATTTCATCGCGGCTCTCGATGTCATTGAGAGTCATTTCTATTTTTACGACTTCGTAAATTGTACGAAAGGATTAAAAGCGATTCTACTGGCTTCTCCTTTTCAATGCCTTCTTCGAGTAGCTGGCTTGTTGTCGAAGCTGCGTAGCGCTGCGAGAGGATTAAACCTTCCTATTGATCCCGTTCAATGGATTCATGCCTTTTCACGTGCCAGCATTTGTAATGTTTTGACATTCTTTGCGCTCGTCCCTTCGTATCTTGCTTTCTTCGTCCACGTTAGAAATGTTATATGTCTTTACATATTTAATTTGATAAAATATAATAATAAAATTATTTTCCTTACGTAATTTAGACGAAGTCACACATTTATTTTAAGAATATTATATATCTTATAATTGTATATATGTATAATATATACTCGCAATATATGTTGAAGAATTTTTATAAATATAATAAGTTAATAATTACTATATATAGTTATTTAATATTTGTACTTTTTTAATAGAGAATTCGTGCTGCGACGACGAGGATTCTTTAGATGACAATTTCTACTTAAACTCATCACAATACTTCGACGAAGAATGGTGTGATGAAGTTCTGCACAAAGCCAAGTAAGTGCATCGAATACAGCATTTCGAACGCGTCATGTGTACAAGGATAAATAGTATAATTCATTATTCGTTTACTGTAGAATGCGGAAAGTGCCAAAAATATATTACGGAACGCGAACGCACAAGCAAATCGAGCAAGTAGTGAGAGAATTGAAAAGGACTGTGTACAGGGATAAAAGGTAAAAAAGATTGCGCAAAGTATTGCCTTATAAAGTGTATAATGTATAATGAGTGAGTTTCCAGGATGACTATATTGAGTAGCCGGAAACAAACGTGCATTCAAAATAGCAATAGGGACAAGGATGAATTATGTCATGAGCTACTCGATCCGTTAAAGGTTTCTATATATTATACTCTATGTATTCTCGCATGTAGTTAAAGATTAAATAATTATGTAACGGGGTATATTATTTTTCTTTGCCCGCAGTCTGATAAATGCCGATATTATAATGACCAAAATAAAAGAAGGATGATGTTGTTTAATGGGCTAGAAACGCCTTGGGATATAGAAGATTTGATTTCGTTGGGCCGAAATACCGGGACCTGTCCATACTTTGGCGCGAGATCTTTGATGGACAAGGCTGAAATCATCTTTTGTCCTTACGCCTATATCGTAGCTCCAGATATTCGCGAGAGCGTAAGCATATAGCAAATAATTATCAATCGAATATCTAGAAGTAGAAAATATTCTAGAGACAAATAATTTTAGAACAAAGTGAAATGCTTTCTTTTCATTGTTACAATATATACTTAAATTTCTTTATCTTAAAATAGCACAGATTGCTTTCACTTTTTTCAACACTTTTAAACATGTTACATAATAAACCACATAATTAAAACATGCAGATGCAGATTAATCTGAAAGGCGACATTGTAATCTTCGATGAAGCTCACAATATCGAGAATATTTGTCTAGAGGCTGCCAGTGTAAATCTCAGAAATGATGATCTTATGATCGCTGCCAACGATTGCAAATATTATGATCGCAAATGTCGTGATCGTAATATTTACATCACCATTCAGAACTATCTCACTGATATTGTAAAATTCCTGGAAACTATTCATGTTAAACAGAATGTGAGCATATATATTTATTAAGCGATATACATTGTGTTTATATTAATTTATGTATCGTTATGGATCATAAAATTTTTTACGATAATAAAATTGATAGCTCAGATATTTTTGTAAATGAGTATAATCGATACTTTTATTTATCGTAATACAACATATTTACTTCAGGACAATGAGATGGTTAGTGATTATTGGCTTGGTGCCGAATTTCTGGTGTTGCTCGACATGCATAATATCGGGAATTCGAGATTTCCCGATTTTCACAATGCTAGCAAGATGGCTATTCAGGATTTCAAGGAAATGAAACAAGAGGCTCGTCCTGATAAAATAGTTCAGACTATTTCGCATGATACTAAGAAAATTCTAGAGCATCTCTGTTTTGCTATACAGATGCTAACATCAGATATCTTTGTCAATGATTTTAGAGTATGTGTCAAAGAAAGTATGAAACCTTGTAAGAAGATTGTAAGTCTGTATATATATATATA